ATCCACTCTTTTGAGGGGCAGGTGCAGATTGTACGTAGCCAGATGTAGGATTGACGACAGGTTGCACATAGCCGCTTGTTGGATTTTTCTTAAAGCTGTTATCCACATAGTATGATGGGTTTTCTCTGAAACTCTCTATATCTTCAGTTGAAGAGTCCTCCTCTTGATTTTGAATAGTATCATCGTCTTTTATTGGTTCTGCTTCCAATTGAAGTGATGAATTAGAACCATCATCTGAAGTGGAAACTTGTCTATCGACTGGTTCTCGAGAGGAATCAGACAATGCGGTGCTGTCGGTGTGGTCGCTAGCAGCACAGTTGTCATTGGTTTTTTGTTTAGTATCTGTAGATGACACTGTAGTTTTATCAGGAAGCAGTAAAACTTCATCTGATGATGGTTTGTCATCTTTATTAGATGGATTCCAACTTCCAAAAGTATATTTAGATATATCTTTCTCTGGTATTCCTAAACCATTAGGTAAAACTGGCTTAATATCCTCCATTTTTCTGTATCTTTTATACAATTTTATGGACCCATATACAAGACCAATAATTGCAAACACAATCATTAATATAAATGTCACTGCTAACCCATCTCTACTTCTGCAAGCCACTGTACTAGGTTCACTCCATTCCCCATAATAAACATTATTAACATTTGATCGGGTAAGATTCACATTTTCTTTATCTGCAAGTGCTCCATGATCAGGATCTTCATCACAGTTAACAGCCCGCACTTGGTAAGTTTCACTCATTATTCCACCTTCACAGTGTGTCAAGAAAAATGTCAATTCTGTAGAATTCATTATTTCTGGTTCCATATCATCTTTAATCCTCCTTATTTGATAAAAATCCACAGTTCCACCTGGTATTTCTGGTTTCTCCCATTTTATAAAATCTGGGTTATTTCTAATAGTAGGAGCCTTAAGTCTGCTAGGTGCACCTATTCTTGTTCTCACAAAAATACCTTCATTTGGCCCAACTTTAGAGCATAAGCCTATAGGAATGTTACAAGCTTGAATGGTCCAAGAATAATTAGTGAAGCCCTGCAGTCCAGTAAGAGTTACAACACTTCTCGAGGTGTCAGTTCCAGATACATTATGAACATAGAATTCATGTCCAAAGTTATATATCACATATTTACCGATATTGCCATTTCTGTGCAGAGGAGGATCCCATGATATATTTAGAGAATTACTTCTTACATTTGTTATTGTAATATTCCTTGGCTTTGTTGGTGTATCTTCTGAGGTTGTAATGACAGCTGTAGCATTTTCAATAGTCTTTAAGCCATAAGTTGTATTCAATGCTATTGTGAATTGATAAGTCCTAAATGGAAGCAAATCTGTGATGTTCACTTCCATTTTACCTGAATCAGAGATGAAAATTGATTGATTTCCAATAGTTGCATCACATAAACTGCTTGTCTGTATTACAGGACAATATGTTATGTTATATCCAGTAATAATACCATCTTTTAATGCACAATCCATGGACCATTTCAATTTAACAAATGATTTTCCAGGAACATCATACTTTAAATGTACATTGAATCCATACATTGCAATCCCATCTTTGGATATTTCACATTTAGCCCAGATCATACCACTAGTTTTGCGGCCTTTGTTAGCGGAAATTGCAAACTGGTATCGGTAGTCTCCCGGCAGATGTATTACATGTTTGTTTTTATAAGGTTCCAAAGTAGTAAAATTTAAACGACCAGCACATATTTTAGTAGCATTGTGTTGACACCAGAATAATGTATAGTTATCTATTCTATCTATTCCAACCCAAGATAACTCATAAGTTCCATTTTCATATGCAAGTTTCGTAAATGAGGTGACATCTAGGTTATGGGTATCCCTTACAGGAGGTATATACATGTGACTGCTATTTATTGATTGTCCAATCATATTGTATGACCACACCGATACTTGCATAGCGTCTAAGGGTGCATCATCCAGATATATATAACTCAAACTTTTGTTCTTATCAGCTAAAAGAGTCTCCGACTTATTACCATGCGAAACAACTACTTTATATGTAAAATTAGCACCAGCTTCCTCATACTCCTCCAATTGTTTCCAATAGACATATATTATTCTGTTTTTATTGTATGTTGCTTGATCAAATCCTCCCGCTGTCATTTCTGGTGGTCGGCCAGGTTTCTCACTAGCTGTGTAAAATGTATAGAAACTATACTCTGACCAAAATTCGTCACTAACAGCTTTCTTTGATTTGATATAAATTCTTACTTCATACTTCATATGTGCATATGGCAAATTGTTTAATCTAAATCTATATGTTTTATTGCTTGGTGGCAAAAATGAAGCATCAACACTATGAAAATAAGCTGTATTATCAATTTTAGCAATTTGATATTCAATTTTATGATCTATACCACATGGCAGAAGGTCCTTCACATTGTTAGGCACAACCCACTGCAATTCAACACTATGTGAATCATTAGACAACAGTTTTAATTTTGATGGTGGATCTGGTTTGACTATTGAAAAATGGTCAACTGTAAAATTCTGCTCATTGCAGCCAAACACATTACATGATTTAAGATTGAAATAGAATTCTTCTTCTAACTGTCTGTAACGAGGGCTACTGCTTGTAGTCCAAATACAATATCGAGTTTTATTGACTCCTAAGATTTCGCAATTTCTTACTGGGTTTCCATTTATAATGAAAGTCAAGTTGTAATTAATGTTACTAAAAGATTCAGGTACTTTCCATGAACATTTCAAAACTTCTATGTTTTTAGACAAACAGCTAAAGTTAGTTACGTTTTCTGGAGGAGACTCAACTAACACTCTGCTGGTACATTTCTTCTGTGTCTTTTTATTCTTACAGTAGTAAGTAGTTACTTGTTTGTTTGGCTTCTCATAATACAATCGCCTTGTTGTTTCGTTGACTATTTCAGATTTAATAGGATCCCCGGATACAGTAAACTCGAGGTCGCTGGCGGTGTAATTTTCTCCAACACAAAATATTTCCAAAGGTTCGCCGTAAAGGACACTGATGTCACCTTGCGGGTACACAGCAACGGTGATGTCTACTCCGAGACATTTCGAAAATATGCAGGGTAAACTGATAAAGCACTTCAACAAAATGCACCAAATCCATGATCGTAATACTCCTTTCCTCGTACTCCACTTCGTTTTTGTACAACGGGTATCTGATGAATTATTTGCCATTACTAATATTGTCCTAAATGACTCTCGTCACCCACATTACGGTTTAGTTTATTGACCGTCGTTTCAAGCGAACTACGAGAAACGATAAAAACATTCCTTGTGTTTTTATCGCGAGCTAAATGGCGCACTGTAGTCCCGACACGATGACACAAGACAGACTGACTAAACTCAACAACTCCACATCACTTATTTATCTATCACCACTGCTACCGTTCGAGTGAAACATGTTTATAGATCACTTTAGATTGCCCGACTGGAGTCCAGATGTACGTATGAAAATGTAATACGCCTTCAATAGCGTAAGTACTTACATAAAATAGAAAGAAAAACTTTGGAATAGTATTTCCAAGTATCACGAACTTCACTCCGTTGATCCGTCGAAAGCAAATCAATAAATTAAAAATATTTTAATGTTGCCTCACGCCAAAAGTGTTAAATGTGTCATTATAACCTTCTGTATGTGGCAAAGCAGTCGTCTAAAAGGTGGAAAAGAAAGAATGATATTGTACATATTTAAATTTATACTGTTGGGAACTTTAATTCCGTTTTCGTACTACTATTTCTATTTACATCCAAACATTTTTACCTTACCACACCAAAACTGTTTGCATAACTGCTCTCTAAATGGATAGGTTATCATACCAAGAGTATATCCATTAATTATATAATTATAGTATATGAAGATAATTATAGTATATATATCCATTAATTTATCGCGGTTTTAATGATGGTTATACATTTAGCAGCGGTGAGGATTCGATTTTGAATACGTTAGAGATAGAATATCCATGGGCATCGGAACTCATGACATTTGGCGATTCACAACTCATTTGCCCTCTTCTGCTATTAAAAATTAATGACAACAAAAGCATCCCTAAAAAATCGACCGATCTATTAGTTGACGATCAGTGCTCAACTGTCAATGTCATTAATTAGACATTGTCATTGTCAATCAAAGTCAACTTTGAAATCATTTTAATGTTGATGTTATTGAAGATTTATATAATTATGAAATGAAGAAGGATTTAAAATTCCTTTAGTTAAATATGTAACATAATGGAAGATAATAATAAACAACATATATTGGGATTTTCAACAAAAGAAGCTTTAATTAGGTTACAGAATGATATAGAATGTGTGATAAATGAACATAAACAGAAAAATCTTAAAGGGTATGTTGGATGGGGGTTATTTATGTATGTACGATATTTGAAAAGAATTTTTAGTAACGGCTAATCAACTTTTATTGTTTTTATTTTCAGATACGATTTTATTCGTAATATCATATCATTTTCTTCAGATAAAGTTCTGTTGTCTGGTGTCGCTTATACCATTATTTTAGTGTACATAAGTTGCTTAATTTTGACATATTTAATTGGTGAAAGTTTGTTAGCACAATCTTATTTACTGTGGGAAGCTTTGTTCCTTTTTATTATATTAGTTTTAAATTTCCTTGTTGCATTTAATGAAGAATACATATATAGAAATGAAATCACATTTCGAGTTCGAAAAGTATTAAGTAAGTATAAATAATTAATTTGTATTTTCGAATTACTTAAATGTAATTGTATAAATTATATGTTTGTTTTAGACACATTAAATGAATCAATAGAACAAGCAGTATGGAAGGACAATCATTATCCACATTTATGTGCCCCATTTTCTCCATGTGTCATCTTGCAATGGACTTACAGAGATGGTAAGAAAACTTAAGATTTGGACTGATTTCTCATTAACCCATTATTGTTGCTATGGACTTTATAGTTGTGAATTATGTGTCTTAAAACTGTTATCTACTAGCCTTTAAAAATAAAAAAAATACCATTGTATACATATTTTTTATTTTTATATTTCTCTAGTTTATGTCTCCTCTACTTTACTTATGTATAAATTCTGGTGTGTAAAGAAACTAGTTGAAAATCAGCCATGAACAGCATTAGCTGAGCTTGCCTCCTTTTGCCACATTCTATTTTACAAGCTCTAAGTTTGTTTTTTAATCTGTTTTTTATTGAGTGACAATAAAAATCTATTTTATTTTATTCTTAACATTATCACACATCCATAAATTTTTCTTTGTTCAGTTCTTTGTTTAAGTAATTCTTTAATGTCTTGTTAAAGTGATCATCAATTTGTCTTCATGTTTTGTGGTTAAATATTTCTATGTAATCATAACAGGAACAATAGTCAATTTACCATGGTCACTACTTGTGGAGGGAGATGTTATTGTTCTAAGACCTGGCCAGGAGGTACCAGGACATTGCAAAGGTCTACAAGAAGGAGATCCTGAACTTTTCTTTGGACAGATCTTTCAACCTGGCTCTCAGGTAGGATACTTTCTTTGACTCCTAGGGTTGAATCCAAAAACAGGGTGCATAGGCATTGCCAGGAGAGAAACATGACCCTCTCTGCACTTTTTAAATGTAAAATAGACAAAAAACATACTTTGAACCTCCCTAGACTCAGCCTCTCGGCTGGTGATGCCCGTAAAGGGTGCCATAATATTAAATACATGTTATTTTTTACAGAATAAAGATAATTTTAGCACACCAAGAATACGTACGCCACATCAAAATAAAGCTTACAAAATGATAGAAACACCATACTTAAAGAATTTAAAACTAGCTTTAGATCAGGCTACAAGTAGACCGGTGACAGTATTCGAGAAGCAAAGATATTTGGTGAGTTAGATTGCTATTGTTTCTATTTTTGAATACAACAGTAAGAAATACGACCCTCAAATTGTAAGCTTTATTTTCTGACATTTAAAAAAAAATAATCAATGATTTTTAATTTTCAGTGTACAGTAAAAATAATGGAAGGTATTGTGTTACCACTTGTAATATCAATTATGGTGGTGGCAAGTTTCTTCCGACATATGTACCACTTGCCCGGCATCACACATTGGACCGAGATTTATTTCTTACAAACAATTGCTGCATCATTACCTCTTCTACAGATTATATTCCCAATAACCTGGGTCACTCTGAATTGTTACGGTCTAGCAAGGTAATTATGTTTTCTTACTGTTTTGCTTCTCAGAAGCATTTTATTGGAATTACTTAGTACACTCAGCTGCACATTTACGAAACTACAGAAACTTGTATACCCTTTCGTTTTTTAAAATCATGTATGCGCGACTCTGTATGCTTGCAACCATAATAATAACACATTATTTGGATAGATTAGTTCATATGTATGCTTAAAACCAAAAGCCTATAAGTGTTGTAACTGTTAACACATTTGTGGAGCTGACTGTACACATTCAGGGGGAGAAAGGCCAGTTGAGAGCAGTTTTCCTAAACTGCTCTCCCCCTGGCGACCCACATTTCACCATATGTTAATACCACTCAACTCCACAAGTCGGAAACAAGTGAATTTTCACTAGAAAAATTTTAAGATTCCATAGTATATAAGTAAAATTTCTTACAGGTTCAAATTATTATCAGAAACCCGTCAAAAGTATGTTCGACCGAAATCGTGTTCAATATCAGAAGACGCAAGTGATCCCTTAATACAGGCGCTGAGCGAATCTAACCTCAAACCTGACAGTCTACGTTCTTTAGGAAAGACATTCTTCAATATATTACTCGGCAGAGAGGATATGGTCGCTAGAACTGCAAATATTGTTCATGTGCTCGGATCTTTATCGGTAAGATATTAAATCATGCCCTAACAAATAAAATTATTAACTGCTAACTTTCGCCCGCGACTCTGTCCGCAAGGAGTAAAACAAAGTGATACTGTGGTAGCCTATAATTTCTTCTAGAATTTTCTCTACATCTATGCCAAATTTCATAGAGATCCATTCAGCTGTTTAGATGGTTAACTCTAACAAACATCCATCCATTCAAACTTCCGCATTTATGTTTAGTATAATAGGAATATATTGTGAATGTAGAGTTTTTTGTTTTTTATTTCTTGCTTCTACAATTTTTAATGCATATTTTTAATATTCCAATGTCTTGCAGCAAATAACAGTTTACAATAAATAATGTTGAAATACGCAAATTTTCAGGCTTTGTGTTGCATAGACAAAAAAGGCATCCTATCATGGCCTAATCCGACAGCGGAAAAGGTATTCTTCCTTCGCAATTCAAGTCCCATGTCTCAAAACTCAAGCAAAACTAGTCTCGTGGGCTCGATGGAGCACCAAAGTGAAACCACAATGGACATGGGTGATAATAAACAAAATCCTGATGCGTCTACCATTGTGGAGGTACATGCATTTCTTTATTTTAACAAAAAAATATTTATTCCGGCACTTAGAGTCATTTAAATGTCCATTTGTCACAATTAAACTTAACGAAGTGTTAAATTCTTTTTTTAATATATAACTGTTAACATTCCACTGTTTAAAATTTCACATAAATATGACAAATTATTATTATCATGCCTATTGTAACATAATGTTAAAGTAATATGAGTCTTAAAACCACATTAGCTTTTTAGTGTTGGCAATACCGACTTAATGCTACAATACAAGCAATAGCTTAACAAATATATAAAAAAAAAACAATAAATCTGGCCATATTTTCTTTGCTTAAAAGAAGGAGGTTTAATTCTGTATTTTTTTAATCTATGTTATAGGTGTTAGATTTAACGCACGATCAGAACGCACCGTTCCGTGTGGAGTTCGATGAACAAAGATGGCGGACGCATATCGCGCGATTGAAGCCGCTCGGATTGGCCGCGCTGCTGAACACGTGCGCGCCCGCACCGCGACACACGTACGCGCACTTCTGCGCACATCTCACATGCGAAGCACAGTACAGGTAATGTATAAACACAGACTAATTACCTCCTTCTCTTGGGATGTCGGTTTAAAATTAAATCCGTAAGTATATGGTTAAGTGTTGTAAAGTTGTAAATTTTGTGTTCATACTAGCCTTTTTTCGCGACTCCGTCCGGAATTAAAACAAAAGCACGTAACCTATCTGTTATTTCAGTCTATGTTCTACATCTGTGCAAAGTTTCATCCATAGTCGTTAAACTGTTTTGGAGATACCTTCTAACAAATATCCATCCATTCATAAAAAAATTTGGCATTTATAATATTAGTAAGATTACAACTGTTTGAGTCAACACATTCATTTATTAATTAACATTGTTGTTATATTTAAAATTGTCAAGTAAAAATACATTATTTATTAGTTTCGATATGAACTTTCAGCGAAGACCTGGTGCCGGTGACAAACCGTCGTTGCCTTTGCGAATTGGCCAAACAAATTGGTTTCACAGATTCCGTGGCTGAATCTTACCATATCCAAGACTGTCTCGCTGTCTTCAGACATTTGGTATGTACATCCTGCTCGAAGGACCAACAAGATAAACGCTGGTAATTAGTTTGTTTTTTATATATTTTTTTTTCATTTAGCAAGCTGATACAATAAGACGTGAGACTCGCTTCGTGCGTTCCTTGCATTTGAGTACGCGTGTGAAAGTACCATTGCCGCATATGTTAGCTGTGATAGTAAAAGACCAAGCAAATCAACTGCAAATGCTGACACAGGTACGAATGTTACAGTAGTTTTTGTGATATTTGTGCTGTTTCTTATTGGAATATTTTATAGTAACTTAGTAAATTTTGTTACGACTTGTATCATTGTTTTCAGGGAACTGCAGATATAATATTAGACTCGTGTGTTGACTACTGGAACGGTCGCGACCTCACTCCGATATCGCCGTCTGATCGCAAGAAGATTATTGACTTCTATCAGAGGAATTCACTCACAGCGTACTGCACTGCGTTTGCTTACAAGTTAGTAACATAATTGTTTATTTATTTTATAACTAGCTTTCGCCCGCGGCTCCGTTCGCGTGGAACTGAAAAAAATAGTAAGTATCCTATGGGTTCTTCTAGTCATTCCCACACATCCCTGAATTTTATCGAGATCAGCTCCGAAATTTATGCTACAAACTCTAATAAACATCCATCCATCCAAATTTTCGCACTTGTAATATTAATAAGGATAAGATTATTAAAATATTAGTAAGAAGATGTAGTTTCTCTAGGAGTTATTAATTCCTCGAGCCAATTGCATGTGACACCGCGCCTTCTCTGTCGCACTGTTATTTCTTTTTCTGTCTACGTGATTTAATATAGACCAACACGAATCTCTTTGGTATTTTTTTGGACATTGACAGGCCTGCTAGTTTTTAGAATTACCAGTGAGTAAAAATTTCCCAATTAATATATGATGCTCACAAAATTGCCAACTACCATATGGTTATTGTATATCTATAGAGTGTAGAACATATACCGTATCTTGTCAGGCCCCTGACGCGCGGCATAGCGCCGTCTCTGTCGCACTTGTACCTGGAGCTGCCGGCGGACAGTCGGCGGCTGTACGCGCCGCACTCGCAGCAGTGGGCGGACGCGCCCGCGCTACATTTCCACTCCACAGGTTTTCACCACTTGCTTTGTTTTTTTATTTTATTTTTAAAACTAATTTAAAGTTATATTAACTCTTTATTTTTTAGATTCATTGCTGTTTAATGAAATAACCGATGACGACGTTAGTGACGCTGACGGATTTTTTGACATGCAATGCAATCAGGTTAGCATATAACTATTGTAGATTAAGTTTAGATTTCTACTGGTAAATGTTTCTATCTAGCTTTTGTGACTTCGTATGCACTTTATTTAAGATAGTAGCCTATGCTTTCTTCCAAACACTTTCAGGGGTACCTTCTCTTTGAAATTTACCGCCTTATAATATTAATTAGCATTCGTCCGCGACACCGTCCGCGCAGAATAAAAAAAAAAACAAAAATAAGTAGCCTGTGGGTTCTTCCAGACATTTTATTTGCGTCCGTTCAGCAGTTAAGGCTACAAACTCTAACAAACATGCATCTAGACTGTCGCATTCATAAAATTAGTAAGATATTGCAGGTGATATATGTGATATTGCAGGTTTTCATAGGCATGGTGACGATGCAGTACCAGGCTCAGAGCGACATGGTGGAGCTGATAGAGCGGCTGGAGCGCGCCTGTATCCGCTTCGTGCACTTCAGTAAAGAGAACGAGCTAAGGTCGCGTGTCTTCAGCGAGAAAATGGGCCTCGAGTCTGGCTGGAACTGTCATATCTCCCTCATCAGTGATGACCCCGCTAGGTAAGAAAATAAAGAAGAAAAAAAACGGCATTTCGGCCAGTTACCGATAAAACAAAGAGGTTAAATAAAAGATAGACTTTTTGATGGAGCAAGAATTGAAAGATTTTATTATTTTCGGCCAGACTTGAAGGTTAAATCAAGGAGGTCTTAAATCATTTAAAGTGATGAGAGACGTAAAGAGGGTAAGGATATTTTTACAGTTACAAATAAAAAACCCATTATTTTTCTAATTTTACAGTATTCATTGTAACTATTAAATATATTATTAATTTTCGTTTTGTTTGTCATTGTTGCCTTTGTGGTTACATCTTTAAAATTATTGTTAATATTGACTAATAATAATATTTTGCATTTATTTGACAGAGAATGATGCGTTTTAAATTATAACGTTTAATAATAAAGCTGTGTCGAAATAAGGTAATTGGGGGTCATGGTTTTTAATACATCTGATGTCCATTTCAATGCTTGTAATATTTCATATCACTGGGACATGGATTTTAACAAAATACTTTGGATTTATATGTAATTGTGTTTTATATGTTTACATCGAAATACACTTATCACAAACGCGGCTAAAACACGCAACATTTTTAACCCATTCTCTTTAATTGTCCCGTTTATTTTGTTAGTGTTGCCCTTTTCTAGATGTTTTCATTCCATTTTTACTCTGAAATTATGTGTTCTATTGTGAGCTTTCTATCTTACATTACGCCTATTAAAAAAAAGTTCGACAAAATCGCGGCATCATTTCTAAGACAACACATTATTCTTCTAAACTATCGCTTTACGCAATTATACCATCATTAAAATTGTCGCACTTCACAATTCGCTTTTCTGTACGTATGACGTCTCATTGCGGGGTTTTGTCTATGACGCTGTCAAATGTTTTAATCTTTGACGCTGACAGATGGTGTAGGGTTGCCATTTTAGTGAATAAAAGCACAAACCGCGCACACTGATTGGATGTGTTCGACAGCAAGGGGGCGTCGCCGCTGTCGTCGCAAACCTTGCCGGCGGGCAAGGAGCGCGCTAACACCGGCTCGCAACTCGCTAGGGCCATCAACACTTACGATGCCGCGCTCGGCTTCTATAGGTTTGTCTTTAACGCTCTGTCGCGCCGTCTGGCGTCACGCCTCGTATACACCTGCCAAAAATACTGTCTTACAAATGTCAACTGTATTATATCTATGTTTTTATTATTATTTTTTATTAGTGATAAATAATAGATATTACCTTCAATTTACTTTTGCTGTTATAACAAAAACGAATTATAAAATAAAATTACAGATGTTTATACATACGATTCTCGTAAACCATAGATTAGCTTTATTTTTTTCTTATTCCCGACTAAGTAATTTAATGAGGTGTGACGTAGGACTTATCTAAATACTTTGAAAAGCTTGAAATTCAACTATTTTTGGCCATTGCGCTTATGTTTTTTAATTAGTAAGTTTAATGGCCGAAATAGGTTATAATAGTAATTTAGACTCTTTAAAGATTAAAATTGTTTTTTTAGTCTATTAGCCTTTTCTTTTCAGCCAGTAATACCCCTTTAATTTTTTCTGAGCACCACACTGAGCAGTACACAGCGATATTTTAAACAATATTAAACTACACGATTCATCGAATGCACTCTTGTATTTTTGTTTGTTTGTTTGCTTGACTCTAATTTGCACGATTTTTAACACTCAAGTAGTTAACACTTGCATTTTTGCTACAAAATTCTTATCTAGCGATTAGTAATATATAGGTTATTAAATAAAAAACACTTTCAGAATCTATCTGTACTATTGTTATGAAGAGAATTTTTTTCTGTGAGTAACATAGGCATTTCTTTTTAATTCACACGGACGAAGTCGCGAGCATCAGCTAGTGTTTTATAATACTATACAATCGCTAGATGGGAATGTACCTAGTATTAATATACATTTCACTAACACTTAACACAATTCAGGGGTCGTAGGTATTTTAAATTACTTAAAAATGTTATATTTCATACTATAGAATTATTTCTACAGCAACAATATGAACACATCCAAGGCGCTGTCGATGTCTGCCCCGGGGGCTATAAATGTGGAGCACACAACTGTCAAATTTGACAACGAGATCAAAAAAGCCCGGCACTCGATTACAACGCATAGCGGTTTTAAGGTTAGTTTTCTATGACGTAAATATTCTAAATATTCCACACTTTGTATCACCAAATACTACTAAATGATTGTGTTCCAGATAATTGAAGGTTTGCTAATGTACTAAAAAAATTAGATATATAATTGTGACAGCAATATACTAGAAGGGTTCTTTTAATACTATACAAAATGCTAACTTGAAGAATCCTGTAGATGGCACTGTTATTTTTTATGTTTTCTCACAAAAAATGGTTTTCAATATTACTCAAACATTCCCTAATATGTTCAATGCAATCGACTCCTACGAGTTCACTTTAATACGTGGATATCGTAGCGTTTAAACGTTAGTTCGTTTGTTAGCGTGGAAGTGTGTCAGCTTCCCAGCAGTCGACGGACTCGCTGCTGGGCGGCGAGGGCGAGGGCGCGGAGTCGCCGCTGGACGCCTGCCGCTCGCTCTCCTGCCTCACAGACTCCACGGACCACTCCGCACCTGTTAACTTCGATATGAGCAATCGAGTGAGTTTGTTACCTGAATTAATATACACAAACACAGAAGAACAAGCGATTTATCTTAAAATGAGTAAACAACTCGTGTCAAAATCGATTTAATTTTATGATATGTGAGTATGGATTTTATGACTTTCGAAATTTATTTATTAACTGCTTTTTATAACTGTTGCTTACAAAAACATTTAGAGCCTGTCCCGCCACAAGCTGATAGAGGTTCAGATATCTTAAAAATGACGTCACTGTCAGATAAGGTAACAAAATCCGATATTTCCATCACATATTGTTATGACAATTTACAATTACGTGTGATGTAAACAAACTTCATGATTTAAAAAAAAAATATGTTACCAGTTTTTTTTTATAAATGAAGGGATCAAATATTTTTAGTCTGTAGATGACTACAGTCATAGGTATAACGTCCAAAATTGTCGTTAGGCAAAATTGCCGCGCGGAATCGAGAACATTCGTCCGCACATCGAGCAGGTGGACAATGTGCCGCTGCTCGTCTCGCTCTTCACCGACTGCACCTCCAGCTCCGTGCGCCACATGATACAGATCATGCAGGTTTGACTCTCACACCTGTCAAATGTAACACTACACCATACATACCTGTCAAATGTAACATGTACGCCATACATACCTGTCAAATGTAACATGTACGTCATACATACCTGTCAAATGTAACATGTACGCCATACATACCTGTCAAATGTAACATGTACGCCATACATACCTGTCAAATGTAACATGTACGCCATACCTACCTGTCAAATGTAACACTACACCATACATACCTGTCAAATGTAACACTACACAATATATACCTTTCAAATGTAACATGTACGCCATACATACTTGTCAAATGTAACACTACACCATACATACCTGTCAAATGTAACATGTACGCCGTACATACCTGTCAAATGTAACACTACACCATATATACCTTTTAAATGTAACATGTACGCCATACATACCTGTCAAATGTAACACTACACTATACATACCTGTCAAATGTAACACTACGCCATACATACCAGTTAAATGTAACACGTGTCTTACTTACCTGTCAAATGTAACTCGTATGTATTACCTGTCAAATGTAACAAGCACGCCATACTTACCTGTCAAATATATTTTAACAATAATTTATTTTAACAACAATAATTTACAATTCCTCTTCAGGACTACGGCGAAGTGGTGTGCGTGATGGGTTCTGCAGCGAACTGCCTCAATATGGAGATATTCATGCAAGCTGATGCCAGGTTTGTACTAAATAATATACTCACTGCTATCTATAAATATATAATAGGTATGTATATCCAGTTAGTAATATTTTCAGCATTGCCGTGGAGCCTTTATACCCGGTGTTGTGTCAGAAGATGCCGGCGTACCAGCTGCCGGCGAACTGCGTAGGCCCCATACAGCTCGCACGCGCTCTCAACTCCGTGCCGTGCTCACTATCGGTAACCCCTGGGTTATATTATGCCATGTGTGGAAAAAACTTGTTTTTCCTGTCACTTCCCTGTCACTTCCTTATTTATGACGATAATGTACAAGCAATTTAATAAAACTACATTTACTAAGAAAAAAGCGAAAGTTTATGGATGGATGTTTGTTAGAGTTTGTAGAATAAACGGATAATTTTGAGATTTGGCATAGATTTAGAGGATAGTCTGCAAGAACACTTAGGCTACTCACTTTTTTCGGATGGAGTCGCGGGCGAAAGCTAGTATACTAATATTATAAATGCGAAAGTTTATATGGATGGATGTTTGTTAGAAGGTACCATCGGAACGGATCCGTGTATCTCGATGAAATTTGGCACAGATGTAGAGCTTACTCTGGGTGATAATATACGCTACTTACTAAGTTATTTTAAATTTCCCGCGGAGGGAGTCACGGGTAAAGCTAGTATGTCAATAAGTAATATAGTAAGCAGCAAGGTAAGGCGCAGTTGGGCAAACCACCTTGGGCGCCTGACAGAGTGGCGCTGTAGAAATATCTCCTAAAGCGCCTATAGAGCTAACATACGCACTGGCGATATAATAAAATGAAGTAGAGTAACTAGAAAGAAATAAATATTTACTACAATATCGCAACATTACAAATGTTTGACCAACATTTGACGTGCAATTAATTTTTCACGCTGCACTATTGAAGCTTTTAAATAAATGGCAAAACCAACCATTCACTAACTACTGCAATACTAAGGTTTGTTAAATCATTACTCTTTAATAATTCAATATTGCACGTAAAAATAGCCATTTTAGTTAGTAGAGATATAATTAAATGGGCCTCTGACTTTCTGACCTACATAACATGTAGTGGAAGAGCAGCACATACTGTGCAGACCCTCTGTTAGGGGTAAGGGCAAGTTTATCACGATGGCTGCTACAATCAGTAGTTAATCGTTACTTAAAGTAGATATCGTATAATGTACACTAAGGGATGTGCTAAATGAGCACTTAGAGACTGTGCGTGCGCAGATGACGCGCGACGCGGACGTGTCGCTGTTCGCACTGATCACGATGTCGCGTCACTTCATGACGTGCTTGTGGAACTCCACGCAGTTCTGGATGTGCAGCGCCTGCTTCATATCGCTGCTGCAGGTCAGTATCTTTAAATCCTCACCAAACTTGCCAAGAACAGACCACAGTGGGATAAATCTAATTTTTAATGAATTATAGAGTTTAAAAAAAATATTGTCGATTTTCTTCCCTATCTGTGCTAATGTAACCTAAAGTTCTATTCTAATATTATAAAGCATAAACGTACACTACTTCATGGCGTAGGCTGTCAGCAATCCCATCATATTTTGAATAATCTATACTATCTATACTCTATACTATTATAATAACGCGTAAACACACTTTTTTGTTGCCTAAGATGTCAGCAATTACAGCATATTTTAAATAATATTTTTTTTAATAAAAAGCCCTACACTTACGTCATGCTTTAGGTTTTATATTTTCACGCTGTTAAACTTAAAGGGTTAATTATTTTGGATAAAAACCCAAATGTGGAAAACTATAAGTTGCTACCAACATCAAGGAAGCATGGTTGCCATGTTTTGTCATCATGTCATGTCATTTTGACATTTGCAATTGATATGTAACATGTAAACAATAAAATAACATTTTCATAATTTTATGCGGATGAAGCCGCACGGGAACAGCTAGTAAAAAATTAAAATAATTATTATTACTCGAGGTGGGTTCGTTCTGTTGTCTGCTGCCGCTGGCGCTGAGCACGGGTGGCGCGGCGTTCGCTGCGGGCGCGGTGGCGCTGCTGGCGGCCGCGCTCGCCTTCCAGCCCGTCACCGCGCACGTCATGCAGCGCGCGGCCACGCGCCCCCACACTGACCTTGGCCCTAAGGTACTGACAATAACTTGATTTTTTTTTCTTTTTTATATTATAAGGTGGCAAACAAGCAAGCGGCCACCTGAATCCGCCAAAATGACGCAGCATCCGCTGCCCATAGACATCAGCAATTGCATATGCGTTTCCTACCCTTAGTCGAAGGAGGAAACGCACATAAAGAGGAATTTCCCCTTCCTATGCATCTCCTGCACCATATCCACGTTCCCTTCACATCCTTTTCTTGTAAGTAAGAGTGGGAAGGATGTGGGACTACAGTTAGGCCTCCGGCAATCGGTTGAAAAATAAACTAACTAAACTATATAAATATAAGGAATATAGGTGGAAGGGTAAACCTGCAGAGATAGACCTAGAAATGGATGGATTGCGTGAAAAGTGACATAATCAATAAGGGAGTAATGACTGAGATGACGTATGATAGAGTTATGTGGAGGACAAAACCTGTTGCACCGACCCGACGGGAGTCGGATAAGGAGGAAGATGATTGAGATGATGTTATTTTGTGTATTAAATCACAATTTATAAAAAATATTTTGATTAATGGTTTCTACCTAGTTTTATTTCTTTTGAAGAAATTTAATAAATTAAACTAAATACTATTTAATTAAATATGTACAACGTCTATAATGGTCTTAATTTGGCCGTTATATGTAAAATGTGAACTAGATGGC